CTACAATCATGTAACACAGATTTTACAAACGTCTAGCTTTTAAAATCCAAAATTTCCCCTCTTACTTGCACTAAAGTTTCATTTACAACCACTATGAAGTACCTTTTCATGAACAATTCAAAATAATTAAACGAGAAAAATAATTATTTGGTAATATTATAGGCTGAATTTCATCGACATTTAATGATGATTTTACCATAATTATTTGGTAATATTATAGGCTGAATTTCATCGACATCTAATGATGATTTTACCAATCTACTTCCAACTCTTAAACAACCTTTTTCATCCATTACTGGATTTAACTCAAACAATTTGGAATTATGAGACAATGTTTTTTACATTTAACATCATTCAATTCTGCAAAAAAATACTCACCTTGTGATAAGATAATCCAGTAACACATAGCATCACATATTTCATTTTTAGTCACAGGACCAATTTCTCTATTCTGTGATTTTAAATTATTAATGAATCTAAATACATATGAAGTGACTCTTAAAAGTTTACCTAAGTCACTAAAGTTTTCTATTTTTAACACAGGTTGTAAAGGTTGAACACTGCTAGTAACTTGAGTCACAACTCTTTCTTCAACACTATCTACTATGTTACAATGCTCGTTCAGTTTAGGCCAATTTATTTCATCTTGATGAAGCCATGGAGGTCCATGCCACCACACTTGATCCACAACAAGATCACTCACTTTAACACCACGTGTGATTTTGTCGGCCGGATTATCTGAGCCAAGACAATAATGCCACATACTCGGGGATGTTTTGTCTTGAATTTCAGACACTCGATTTTGTACGAATGTTTTCCATCGCCGTGGTGAGTTCTTTATCCAATGAAGCACAATAAGAGAATCTGTCCATAAATGAATCTTAGCTTGAGTAAAATGCACACGGACTGTAGTTTACAAGTCTTGCACCTAACACACTGCTGCTTGAGCTCGAGTCTTGGTAAAGATAATTTTTTCAGGGGAGCCACTCTGCTCTTGGCTATCACTAAACTTGTTCCAGAATATTTTAAGCTACGGAATTTCACGTACACTGCTGCTCCGTAAGCACTTTGAGATGAATCACAAAAACAATGTAGTTCTAGTGTTTCAGGCGTTTCATCAACATCACGAAAATACCACCGAGGTTTCTGGATATTAGGTAGATCACATAGTTGCATGTACCATTTGTTCCACTTGTCTTGCAATTCTGGTGGGATAATTTCATCCCAATCAACACCTTTCAGCCATAAATCCTGAAACAGAACTTTTGCTTGAATAACATATGGAGCAAGAAACCCAACAGGATCGAAGATTTTTGAAGCAGCTTTTAAAACACAACGTTTTGTTTGGTCATTTGACTGGATGAAATCAATAACGTCTTGTGCATTAAATCAGAAGATATCCTTAACTGTATCCCATTGAAGTCCAAGAATCTTTGAGGGGGAATCACAGTCAGGCAATTTAAAGCTAACGAAGTTGTCACTTGATTTATACTGGTTTTTTACAGTATCCGAATTCGAATTCCATTTGGTCAGTCATTGATGCCTTTTTCATTATATCATTGGCTTCATGATATATCTGTATAGCTTCCTCCTCCGTATCTGATCCACAAATAAAATCGTCAACATACATGAAGTTTTCTAACATTTCTACAGTTATGGGATAGATGTTTTAAAATTTCTTTAAATGATGCTTAATGCAAGCGCTCAGCAAAAATGGACCTGATTTTGCTCCAAAAATTACACGACACATCCGATAAACTTGAATTCTCGGATTGCTCAAACTTGAATTCTCATCAATCCACAAAAATAGCATTGAATCTCGGTCTTCAGGTGCAACAGAAATTTGCAAAAACGCTTTCTCAATATCTGACGTAAATGCAGTTCTATGAAGTCGAAAATTTATCAAAACTTTCAAAAGTTCAGGAAGGAGATTTGGTCCTTGTAGTAAATTAACATTTAGAGATTCATGATTTTTTTTCTTTGAAGAAGCATCATAAACAATGCGAAGTTTTGTAGAATTATGATCTTCACGGATGACAGCACGGTATGTAGTAAGTTCGTCTCCCAGATGGAGTACCAAGATCGACCTTTTCTATGATTTCTTCCTTAAGCTGATAGTCAATCACTTCTTTATATTGCGCATAAAAGTTCAAGTTTGATTTAAATTGTTCGATCAGATTTAAAAATCGTCTTTCAGCATTCTTAAAATTGTCCCTTAAAGTCACATTCTGATCTTTCCATGGAAGTCTAACTTGGTATCTATCACCCTTTTGTGTAATTGAATTGTTAAATATCTAAGGCCATTTCATTTTGTTCTTTATCAGAAAGATTTTTAATTCCTATAGATTCGATAATATTATATATATCCTAAAGATTTTTAATTCCTATAGATTTAAACGATTCGACGCTTTTTAGAAGTTTCTCTTCTACACTTAGATTTAAACACGCATCATGGATTTGAAAGCCTGATGAAGAAACTTTGCCTTGTATGCACCACCCAAACAAGGTTTCATCACTACGGCATTTCTATTCATCCTTTTTATTTCTTCGCTTGCTGTTTTCCACATAATGTCCGCGCCGATCAAAACGGAAATATGATTCATGCGCCGCAGTCAGTCTATCAAAGCGATGCCGAATGCTTGAAGGTTGGATTTTATTTCTACATCTGGTACTCGTATATCGGCATTTGTTATGACTGGTACTTCAATGACTTCGAGATTTATGTATTTTTCAGGGTCATTAATATTTCGGAGCGTAAGTTCAACTTTCTTTCGACGCCAATGTTTCCCGTTCTTTTCACTAAAAGTATGCAGATTTAAAAGTTTCTCCTTTCACTGGTAATTGTAATTTTCTTGATAAATCTTCTTGAATTGCAGAGATTTGGCTACCGCCGTCAAGAAGACATCTCACAATACAATTCTTATTTCTGCTCTCAGCACAGCATACACCGTTTGAAGCATAATATTAGATCCAGTTTTGGCAGAAGAATTTTTGAACAATTTCCGCCGATGTTTCGGTTTCCTTATTTTTTTACACTGCAGACAGCTGATGCGGGATTTACACACACACTTTCATGATGTTTACCGCGGCACTTTTTGCAGGAAAACTGTTTGTTCTTACAGTTGACAGCTAAATGTTTACATCCAAAACACAGAAAACATTTCCCTGTACGTTTCAAAACGTTGCGTTTCTCTTCAGAGTTCACCTCAGTACATTTATATTTCGTATGATCTTCTTTGTCACAAAATATACATTTGTATCCAATTGTTGATAAAGCTGAAGCAGTCGAAACTTTTGGTTTATAATTCGGATAAGCTCTCGTTCGTTGTTTATTTTGACGAATGTATGGTTTCTGATCCGTTCTCACAGAGTTCATTAAACTTGCAGCTTCTCGACAGTTAACTTCCTTTTTTAAGAATTCTAGAAGTTCCTTCATATCAAATCCTGCTTCCATTTTTCGACTTCGATTAAATTCCTAATTTTATTCCTCTGGAAATTTCTGCAAAATGATAGGACAAAGAATATTTCCATAACTTCCAGAAGTAACATTTAACGATTCTAAACTTCGAATGTTGACTTCGCATTCATCGTACAGCTTACGCAGTGCTTTAACATTTGAAATGTTCCCCGCTGGTTCAAGAGATAGTAATTTATTCATATGCGAAGTGATAACAACATCTTGTCTTCCAAAACGTTCTTTCAATATTTCTACTGCGGAATCATAAATTCTGGTCACTTAAAGCGAAACCGGAAATGGCAGCTAAAGCATTACGGCCAAGTAAGGATTTTAGGTACGCAAATTTTTCAGTTTTCTTCAATCCACTATGATTATGAATTGTATTTTCGAACTGGTTTCAAAAGTCCAACCATTTACACGAAACCGGAAATGGCAGCTAAAGTATTACGGCCAAGTAAGGATTTTAGGTACGCAAATTTTTCAGTTTTTCTCAATCCACTATGATTATGAATTGTATTTTCGAACTGGTTCCAAAAGTCCAACCATTTACACGAATCTCCGTAATAAGTTCCGATTTGCAGACATGAACTTCACTTTTTTCGCTTCAACTGAAAGTGCAACATTAGCCGTTTCGTTCTGATGAACTGTTCTAGAAGATTTCGAATTCTTCTTAAAAAATCGTTGCATTCTTCCTCTCCATATAACAGTTTTATCCCGGTATTCTTGACTTAAGGTAACTTCATTTTCAATTTCCTCCGAAGTTACTTTCGTTTCGATTTCTGAATCTAAACTTTTCAGTTCGTTGATTTTCTCAATCAGCTGTTCATAAAAATCCTCGATTATTTCAATTTTCTCATTTAGCGAAATATTAATTGCTAAATTCGTTTCGACTTTGGTAATCAGTTTCGTAGTTAATTGTCTTACAACCGATGGTCTCTTTTTCAAATTTTCAAGAACGCCCTCCATTTTCGAAACATTCAGTCTGTCGATTTTCTGGTTCGTAATAATCCCGGTTTGCAGGCACCATAAACAAAATATATGCAAGTCTCTAATAAATCAGACTGGATCAAATGTAAAGTAATAAACAGAGGAGCGTTATTGCACACAACGTCTATTGACGAACACCAAAGACGAACTGAAACATATACATAATTATGACATCACAGTTTCTTTTTACAAACACTACCGCCATCTATTGGCAATCTAAGGATACATAGTCCTAAACTTAACACATTCAAAAGGCAGCTCGTAATAGTTCGTGAATAAAAAATTCTTCCATTTAAATGACATAGTTTTAATATTAAAAGTAATATTTAAATCAATGGTAACCATATTAGCATTTAAAGGATAAGAATACTATGTATTGATTTTTAAATGTATCATATTTAGCATTTAAAATTAAATGGGATTAAACTTTTTTAATACTGTTTGCGTGATTTTAACGAAATGCCTTGAAAAGCTTTACTACTTACATCAAAATTACTGAAATAAAGAAAAACTGATAACCACTTTCATGCGCAATTTGAAATGTTTATGCACTTACCCAGTATGGCCTTCTAACTGGCTAATAAAGTCGAAAAACTGTGACCAGTCTAATGATGACTGTTCGTTAAGCCAACGTCTTATTTCTTCGCAGTTATCGGGAACCAAGTCGCTCAGCACAATATTAGAAAAGTAAGCACTAGCCAACGTTACATTGTATATAGTAGGTCCGCTTCCGATCTCAAATAATTTTCTCCCTTTGCATAAACCTAAATTTAAGTAAACATATATTATTTATTAATGTAGTAAATAAACACATTTTCAGTTGTAAGCCATTTACTTATATTAAAATAAAACAGTGGCTGAAACTACGAATAATAGAAAGATTCGAAAGAAAGGGGAGGAAAGAGAGTAATCAAATTTTAATTAAATAATTTTTTTAGCGTTAAGAATAAGAATTAACAAAAATGTAGAAATCGAAACATATAAAAGGGTTCCTATTTTAACGATCGCCCAGATTAGCTCTTAATCGAAAAATTTGAAAGGGTTAATACTTTAACGATCACCCAGATGGTCTATTTTAAAGTTTCTTATGGTTTATCAGTACAGAATATCGGTAGAGATGGCCGAAATGGAATAACTAATTATTTTAAAGGTTGAATTTGCGTTTAGACTAACATGGGAACATTCTATATAAACTCTATATATTTAAAAAATGAAAAAATGGCTACTGTAATTCCATAAAAATATTTATTGTTTTCAATTAGGTATGTCATGAATTAAATGCAGTTTTCTTTAAATCAATAAGATTAAAAAATTAAAAAATAATATTCCTAACTAATGCATCTTTTTAAATAGTATAGCTTGTTAATTAATAAAAGACAGATTAAACATGAAGGAATAGTATTTGATGTTTATCCGAATGAACACAGACTCGAATGAAAAGTGAAACAACGCAAAATCGCGTTCGATTGGATTTAACCTACTGTGACGATACACCTACTAGCACCCCCGCGGGCACAGGTGCTGAATTATAACTTCCTGTTTGTTCGCGGACTAAATGGACCATACCTGCAAAAAGCAGAACTGCAGATAAAACCCCCTGGGAGTTTCCGGACACAAGGAACTAATTATGTTTCTCTTCGCAGATAACAATACGAGTGAAATCTTTGTGAAGAGGTCTTCATGTGATTTTGAGGTGACAGGACGCATCTTTTACGTTCTAAACCACGCCAGTGGTTTCTTCTGTAGAACAATAGTTTTTTTTTATGCTGTAACTACAGTAAAAAGGACACTTTTTTGCGTCCAATCTGCGTTAGCGGATATTGTATGATTTAGAGCTGTAATGGTCAGTTTATTTTTATGTTTTAATCAAGAAATTTATTTTATTTTAGTTTATCAAATAAATAATTTAAAAGACAACCTGTCTTTCTTTCACCCGACACGGGTGTACTGACGTTACGCTACTAGGTTATTCAAAAACTTACAGCGGCCAGATAATAATTTCGGCAGCAAGAATACGAAGCCGAGATTCAAAGTTCAACAGCTGGTTTAATTAGCAGCGTGCACTCTCAATAGCAAAACCACGCTCTAACTGAAATTTTCGATATTCCAATTTAAATACACTCTCGTTCACCCTAACTGATTTACATACTGGCGAGGAAAAGGAAGCGAAATAAGAAAAGATAGAAAAGGTTGACACATTAAAATAACTATTAGTAAAAGTAACAGAATCTTACAGCGCTATTCTGAAACAAAGCAAAATAGAGTTTCGAGACTAACAGTCCTTTTAAAATAAAAAAAAACATATGCATAAGGAAACGTACAAGGCCTTCATACAAAGGCTTTGATAGCCACAATTGGCATAAGCCAAACATCGCTTCTTGGCAACAAGAACATCCTATGTCACGAAAGCTAGTATAGCGATTTTTATTATAAGGAAATGTTCATGCGATTATCTAGTTGTCACTGCAATATAATCCTAAGGGTTAAAAAGCATGAACTCTGTTCACACCTGCCGAACTGTGTTTAAGCCATTTCAGTTAGGGAAGATAAAGTTATTAAGATTTGAATATGCAGCTGATTTAGCGAAGTCATCAACCAAATATCAGTTCGTTTTTGCTTCAGGGTGATTAGTCAGTTTGAGTACCAGAGAAGAACAAAATTAAACATTTAAATGAAATTTTTATATGAGTTTTTGTGGCGTAGCAAAGTCTGATTACCTAGCAAAGTAATTTCCGCTTATGCCACTTGTGATCGCAATGACCTCGTGTGAACGCTTCATAGATGGTCCAATCACTTTATTTTATGCCAACCTAGGATAAGAATGAACTACTCACAATAAAGGAAACACGAACTAGCATTAATTCGATAATGTGAATGAGTCACGTGCACATTCCTGCATGTGCAACTGTACTTTGCCTAACTTCGTAAGCTTTAAACCCTTTTGCATGGATATGAAAACAATGCAAGACTTTCACGTTTTAGGGCTACGATATTAATGAACGCCCTCTCAACGATAATGAATTACATATACTGTAAATCCTCTTCCAAATAAACAATTATCCAGACTTTCATAGTTTCTAATTAAAGCAATTTCGCTAAAGACGTTTATTATGACGAAATAATCAGAATTGCTTGCTTTAATCCACGACAAAGCCCATTAGAGCAGCATGTTTAAAGGGTGTAAAACGCCTTCGTAGAAGCATTTTCAAGATAAACTGACTTTTACTCATTTTAATTATGAGAGAAATCTACGAACAATACCCATTCGCCCGTTCGTAGGGACATGAACCCGGGGTCGAATTGCTAATAGGCAACAACAACCACAGGTGGGCTAAAAGTAGTCACAGAATTTGTTGAAGTGAAGACTAGAAAATAACAACTAAAAAATTATAGGAATTGTTTTATAAATGCAGCTGATTTTTACGCTGAGTCTGTTACACGATTTCGAAAAACAGTTATGGTTTAAGATGTAATACAATTATATATAATTTATTTAAATATAATGTATTAAAATGGGGGCCTTTTTAAAAATGCCTAATTGATTTTAATTCTTGAAAATAAAACTCCTGTTCAAATAAAAAACTGATCACTTTCATTCATATAAAGGATCAGTTTGGGGTCATAATTCTTTTACATAGTTTTCGCTTGAAAGAAAACACTTTAAGCTTTAAACGTCAAACTAAAAATTAATTACAGTAGCATAATTACTGTAAAGAAAACGATTTCTGTATTTCATTTTCTAGTAAACAAATAAAATTCTTCCCCAACTTTGTTTAAATATGTTATTTTACATGCAATAAGAAAGCACATTTAATATTTTTAAGCATGGGAAAATGATTTTTGATTACAACTTAACTTCTGTATCTGGTATAGAATTTCATAAAAACATTTATATTTGGCCTAAAATTGTATTTTAATGATGCATAAACTGCACCTGAAGACTATATATTTCCAGTTAATCTGACATATAGAAAGTTTTATTTCAACGTGCTAGTAAAGGACAACGCCTGTGTTTATAGCAATAAAACACACACACACACAAAAAAAAAAAAAAAAAAAAAAAAACTCTTTTATTTGAAATAATATCGCATCAAGTTGGAATGAATTAAATTTGGTTCATAATCGTGCTTAAAATCCTATTTTTTGTGCATCTTTTATTTTCTTGAAAGAATCATGTGGAACTGCTCTTATTAAAGAAGATTTATTTCTTATCTATTTTCATGCGTTCATATATTCTTTTAATTTTATGAAATAAAAAATATAATCAAATTATTAAAGCCAAATTAAGTTTCGATAAGAATTCTAATAGAATTTGTTTGAAAATAAATATATCTTACATAAAATAAATACATATAAATAAATATATCTTCTTTTTTGTAAACAATTTTTAGAATTTACTTTCATTATTTTTTTTCTGTTAATAACACCCAAAATAAAATTCCGCAAATATAAAAAACAGCTAGTTATGACCCTGTTTGTGACTCTTTTATAATACCAAGCAGTTAAAATAAGATTTAAAAACATACGGAAAGAAAATTTGCAATCTGAGAAATTCAGACTATAATAACCTTGAATGAATCAACATTAAAAAATTCAAGAAAGTTTAAAATATTATTTTAAAAATAAAAGACTTATAATTTTAAATATATACTGCAATCAAATCTTGGAACGTAATAAAAGTAAAGATAATCGAACAATTCAGTAATAATTGAAACCAGATTAATATTTAAAACAATCTTAAGTTTTAAGTTATTAAGCCAAGCAGTTAAGGCAGGTCTACTAGTTTAAGAATAAGTTCCCAGAAATGAAAGCTATGGAACATAATATCTCGTATTTAAAATGAGTCGTTAAAAATTGAAAAGCCAAAAGAAAGGGGGAAATTGCTATGAAATAATATTTCATCATAAATTAACGCAAAGTAAAAATTTGTTCACTTATTTAATGAAGAAAAAACTTAATAAATCAAAATTCAGCTACTCATTTATTTCATAGGATCGGTAGCGAACGAAGCTTACTATAAATATGTCTCTGAAATGACAATGCTTCTATTTTCTAGAGCAGAAAATAATAAACATATCCAAGATGTATGATTCAAGGTGTTTAGTAATAAAAGCATAGGAAAAAAATAGAAAAGTAGTAGCATTTTTTTTTTTTTTTTAATTTTCTATATCACTGTTTGCATTATCACTGTTCTGGAAATCGAACTAAAATTAAATTTATGTCTAAATTTTGCATGCATTTTAACTACATCGAAAACGAGAACATTAGTCGCAAAACACATGAATATGGAAAAATGAAGTAAATTTGTCATCTTTTTTAAAAGAGGAAACCAGTTTAAAATCAAAAGTGAAAATTTGATACAATTTCAAACATTTTGGTTTTTGATGACTCACATACCCGAACTGAAAACTTCATGAAGAAACGTTAAGTAGAAATGGAAATTTGTAGGATCATCTTTCATCATTTTATTCAGTTTTCTGCAGTATTCCAGAGACTTGAGGTTTGAGACGTAATTTTCCTTGATTACTTTATCCATGTTGACTACTGCAGAGCGATTTCGACGAATTCGAGATAACCAGCAATATTGGCTTTTGCAACAATATGCGAAGATAAACTGTGTAGCCTTCTCTTATGAAAATATTACATAGTTTTTCATTTGCTTTCCTTGCGATGAATCAGCAGTTTATACGTGTTGCATGTGTAGAATCAGAAAACTTGTTTTACTTCAATTTTCATAGCATATTTCCGATCAAGTTTCTAGAAAGTTATCTGCGATATCTGAAAAAAATTCTCGACAGTATAATGACATTGCAATAATTGCGGCATTCTAGAAATACGTGACTAAAATAATCAGACTCCATATCTTTAATCCAATTTACATCTCTCTTATTCATCTGCTATTTTTGATTACCTAAGCAAAGGTAATTGATGCGTTCTGCAACTGGAAATTCTTCGTATCAGCGTAGAATATGTTTAATTTACTATGTCTGTGGCAATAGTTTTATTAAAAGAGATTGGAGATTTATTTAATCTGACTAACAGTTAATTATTATTAGTTAAAGATAATTATTAGTTAAAGAAACATTCCTTTCAGTCTCGCTTTCATCCACACTTTCCTGCTAGAAAGCAAATGAGATAGCGGATAACTGAAGTTAAGAGAGAAGGAAGTGCTATTTAAACGAAGGTTTTTGGAGGGGTAGAGCATGTTATGCCTGCTTAAATAATACCATCTAGTACTACTGGTGGTACTGGTTTGAAGGCCATGTTAAGCGATTTGATTCTGTGGCACTGGATTTTTCTAGTCATACGTCTTGTTTCCGCCACCATCTAAGAGTCAGATCCTTCCTGTGCGTTAAATTATCCTGTGAACCTTTAGGCTAAATTAATTACATTTTATTTTAAGTTCAATGTTATTAGTTTTAATTAAGCCAGAAGCGTTGCCTTTCTGTAAGCCCAAGTGCTGCCATCTGTGCGATTATATTGGATTGAATAAAGGTTCTTTAACATCCTACTTCTGAATTTTCTGTTGTGTTAAGACCTGAGGATAATTCCTAATATAGTCTTATAGCTCGTTAGTTTATGCTCCCAAAGAGAACGAGTCTTTATATGAGAGTTTAAATTTAATATTTATTTTATTTATGCCCTAATTATCTTTTCTACGCTTTTAGGTAAGTCAAATTAATTTTCAGTAGCTAAATGCTGTTTCACTGCAATGAAGATATCATACAAAAAATCTGTTCCTTTCAAGAACGATGTTGTAAAAATAATATATTCAACTCACCAACTAATCCCATTTGCTACTGTCAAAACAGTTTAAACAATTACCAGAAAGTACAAACTTTTAAAAGCAATTACCAGAAGGTCTATGAATGAAGCAATGAATGCTTCTTCTTGGAATCTCAGAGTGCATTTGTCACGTCTTCTTATATTGTTGCAATACTTTCATTTCAACGGCATTTTCACTTGAAGACGTAAACCAAATATCACCTTGTAATATACCGCGCCAATGTAGAGGAAGTGGAAGAGGGATGTATGCCCAAAACTCTGCTGATAGAGTCATCATTATTCAGAGCCAATAAATGAAATCAGTAGCTCCGAATTGCCAGGCGTGAGTGTTTCAGTATCTGAACACAAAACTCGTGACTCATCAATTGTACATCCGAATTTGAAGTAAAATTTCTCGATGCATATCACTTCATTCGTTCAATAAAAGCAATAGACCATGCTTTCGCTTTCAAAGGCTGTCACTTCGTTTGAAAGTGGCGAACTTAATCTTTCCATTCAACAGCTTTCGTTTTGTATGAATGTCATATATGTAGCTCTAACTTTTGTCTTCAGCAGTAATGCTGAACATAAAAATAGAATCATTTTATGATTTTCTCCAATAGTTCAGCAATATCTGGCTCCCTACATTCTTTTATCAGCGTACGAGGCCTGATTTTTACATTATGTTTCATTTGTAACGTTGCGCGCCTCCAACTTGCACGCAACCAAGAGGTGACTGTGACAACTGGATAAAATACAGAATCTTGTGAAGGGTTTAAGTCCCTTTTTATTCAACGTAATAAATTACAATTGCGTGCTCTTGACGCTCACAGACTGCGCCTACTTGGCGGTCAAATAAAAATAATAACCTGAAAAGAAACTAAAGACAAGATTCTAACTACGAGGCTCTCTAAAATAACTAACCTCACCGCGTTTTACAAACACCGCTGCTAATTCAGCAGACTTGAAGCTCACTTGAACGATTAACACTACTTCCCGCCAAACACATAGGCCGAAACGCGGGGTTCTTCAATTCTCGCTAACTACCTCCGCGCTCGTGAAGTAAGAATATCACACACCGAACTCGTTTCCTTCCTATTTAAATCCTAATACTTCCGCTGATAATTTGAATCCTTGCGCGTTCTACTAAAATTTACATATTCTGGCATTGGCAGTTCCAGGGGAAAGTAAGGCTTGACAGGAAAGGTAGTTTAAACTTAAAATAAATGTTAGTTAAAATAAATCTAAACCCTACATTTGCCGCTGCCAGAATTTGGAAAAACTTGGAAGCAGGTCCTACAAACGACCTGTTGTAAGTTTCTCTAATTCTGAACTAACTGGCGAGAACCTCGTTTACACAAAAAAATCTTATGTAACCAAAGGTTTGTATACTAAATTCTGTTGATCGTTACAAAGCTCTCTTCTTACAGCAACTTTTCCTGGACTTCATCAATCAATCTTGGTCTTTCCTTCCAGCATCTGGAAGGAATAAGTATCAGTATCTTTCTACAATACATTATAATTTACACTTTTGACACTGAAAAATTTTTGTTTTTACGATTTATTTTCTGTTTATGTTACTTCACATCATTCAAGTTTTCAGCATTAATTTAACTTTACCCTGGCTCTCCACCGTGTGTGGTGTCAAACGGAATATTCGTGTTTTAGTCTTTGCAACACTTCCCCTAACCACCATGATTTGTTAGAATTCAACGACCAAATAGACACACCTACTCGACATTCTACAACTCAATGAGCTACTTTAATAGTTCTTAAAAATTCAAATGTAGGTGGAGACCCCTACAAAAAAACACATTCATTCTAACTTCCCCTTCATTCATCTTTAACATGCAGGCTTTCGCTCTAAAGCATGACTTTATCTTTACAATTTACTAATACTTAAATTTTGACTTCATTGCTTTTAAGCATTCACTTTTAGCATCTACAATTTTATGCTTCTAGACTAAATTCTACTTTTACATAACATTCAAGTATTTACGTACATTTACAAAATTTAATACATATGATTTTACAATTTACCATAAAGCTGGCGGCACTGAAACTAAAATTCTTATTAGTACAAGAATACGAAGTTATTTTATCTTCGGCCAAATTTGGCTTTAACAACAGAATTAGTCTTTCGACCAACAGAAACTGCTTGTTTTAGCTTTTACTTAAAGAAAATAATACGTTTGCCTTAGCTAAATAAAGTAAAACAAAACTAAGTCTCAACCGAGACATATTGACTTTCGTCAAAACATAGAACTTCGTACTATTGTATAACATTTCGGAACAAAGAGAAAAAAATTTATAGAAGGTTTTAACTTATCTTTGAGTTTTCGATGATTGAAACTCCGTCATTCGTTTTGGCAGAATTGGTCCCAAGTTAGAGGTTTCATGGATGTTAATCTTCTCCTTACTGCCCTCCGAGTGTCGTCCACCTGACTTTTTCTTTTGCGTCCTCTGACATGCTGGCCTCTTGGCGGAGTAATCGTCTGGTTGTTGGCATTTCCGTTATCCCCTGGGACGGCTGGTCTTGACGTCCTCCGGTCTGGAGTCCTTCTTGAATTTCTTCTGTTCATGTATTTTTGTGCCTCCTGTTGTCGTTTCAGTTTCCGGAACGGCGGCCTTGTGGCACCTGACTCTGTGGCCGTGTGCGCGTTCTCCTTGATGTGTTGTAATTTCTCCTGCTATCCTTTGTAGTGGTGTTTTTCTCTTTACCACGGTTCTTACCGGTGCATCTGTATTTTTGTTTTTCTTAAACGCTGGAGTTTGAAAATTATTTTTTTCTTTTTGATACCGACGTCCGGGTTGTAGAAGTGCTAGGTCTCTCTTCAGTTCTCTGTTTTTGGGTGGTGGAATTGTTTTTAGTCTCTGGACCTTCTACTTCGTTTAGATTTGAGTCCTGCAAGAAACTTTTAAGGGATTTCAAAATCATTTGGATTATAGATTTTTTCACCTGGTCGGGACTGCTTTACAATTTCCCCTCTCTCGTTCTTAAGATATAAGACACTCCTTGATTTCCTGAATTACATAGGGCCTTCAAACTTTTGGAACTAGCTTTGCCATAAAATTGTCTGGGGCACTTGATAAAGAAAATTTCCGCTTCAACTTTATCCCCAACTTTAAAATCTGCTTCACGGCGTTTCTATCGTAATATAGTTTTTCTGCCTATTTCTTGCCGTATCCGAGCTTTTAAGCGCCTGATCAATCAAACTTTTTGCACATCTTTTGTTTAAACTCCGCTCTCTTTGTTGCACAAAGAATAATTTATCTAAGGCGTAATTAATTTCGGCCTAATAATAATTCTGCTGGAGTTTTTCCCGTAGTATCATGATGTTGCCGTTCTTAAAGCATAAGCTAATTCATTTAGTAGCCATCCCAGGCTTGTGATGTGTGCTCACGTAACTGCGAATTATTTTTACTATATTTTTATTAACTCTTTCTGCTATGTTGCCTGTGGTCTATACGGAACCCATTTTGATATGGCGTATGCCAAGTCCATTGCAATGTTTTCAAATATTTGACTAATGAATTGTTTTCGTTATCGCTAATGACATTTTATCGGTGCACCGTATTTTAAAATGTATCTGTGTAAGAATGCATCTGCGACTGTTTTGGCTGACGCGCGGTTTAAGTGGAACAATTTCTGTCCATTTTGAAAATGATCTACATTACTAAAAAAAGAAAACGATTTTTATTTAACTCGCTCTGGGGGAAGGGACCAAGAAGATCTATGGCCTAAAATTTCATTCGGAAATGTAGCGCGAATGCTATTTAAGTACCCGGCCGGGCTGTAATTAATTCATTTATTAACTGACATTGATTGCAGGACCTGACATACGCGTTACTATTTTGTATAATTGCGGGAAAATACCGCTCGCGTACCTTTTTAAAGTCTTTTGACCCCGAGGTGGCCGGTG